CCTCGTGAATTTTCTGAAAAACGTGAAAAAGAGGGCAGAGTAAACTTTCACTTTAGGGCAGCAGACGGTAGTTTCATAATACGTCTTCCTTTCAATGTATCAGATCCAGATGACCGTCTGAGCAAAAAAATTGGAGACGAATCGCGATCTTCTGATGGCATCACCAAGCGTTTATCAATGAGTACAGATCATTGAAACACATGTCCCAATTGAGCGGAACAACCGCAGGCCAGACATTTATTCCACATCAAGCCATTTTACTACTGGATAGCCTCACAACGAAGATCCGTGACGTTTTCAACGCTTGGGTTATGACGGCTTCCTGCATTTCGCTTAATTCCTTGCTGCGTGCAGGACCTTCTCTGTACGATCTTTTGTGCTGGTTGAGCTCATTGACAATCAGAGGAAAAACCTTAATACAAGCACAATGGCGTAAGAAGATAAGCCGGGACTATGTAGTCTCCTAGCGCACCACTTTTCATGGGACGCCNAACTCATCCATTTCTGCGACGCTTTTTCGACGGTCTTCGCTGCAACAGTCTATGCACGGGTTGTCTCTGAAGACAATTCCGTATCAAATTTTTTTTTATAGCGAAGACACGAGTCGCACCATTAAATACCCAATCTATTCTGATCCTTGAGCTCTTCAGTAGCATCCTCCTTGTCGATCTATTGATGCACGTTTGCATATCTTTAGGACTCCCAGTTTCTCGAGTCACTTATTAAACAGAGACAGAAATCCTACTCATTTGGCTCTGCAAACATCAATCTGCGTGGAAAGTTGTTGTAGCTAATCGCGTATCGCGCATTCAGACTACGCGTGCCGTTCTCGTTGTTGACACGGTTTTCGTCTTGCACATGATTCATTCTGTGAGTTGTGGAGCGCGAATTATTCGATATTTGCAATTAGAATTCTTTAAAAAGGAACTTGCAACATTGGAGCGAGGTAGCTCGTTTTCAAGGGAATCAGACATCTTGTTTTCGAACCCTTTCTTGGATACCCAAGGTATTCTCCACGTGAGAGATCGCCTGCGCAACGCGAATAAACCGGACACTGCGAAATTTCCAATACCACTCCCGTAACACCGTGTTTCGGAGTTTTTACTGTGCCAATGTCACGTTAACACTGTGCATGGTGATGTTCTCCTTATCCTTCGTACGGTCAAGCAAGCACCACTTATGCAGGACACGACTCCGTACAGGGTGAGGCCTAGTCGAGTCTTATTTGCGATCGAGGTCGATTACGTATGTCTATATTTCGTCTGCGAAATACAACCTTCGTATATCACTAGTGCTTTCTTGACCACGCTTGATCGCTTTCTTGTGCGACGCGAAATCTCGGTGCAGCAAATTTGCGGTGCTGAAAATTTAATAAAGCGTTTCAGCCGACGAAAATGCACGTCCGGTGTGCCAATCTGCAAATGAGTTAGCATTCCGATCATCCGATCGCACCACACTTTAACGGCATGCAGGAGGCGGGCGTGAAATCCGTCAAGCAATACCTCTGTCGTGTATTTGGCTTCTCTATGCCCATCGTCGAGGAAAAACAAAAAACATATGGAAAATGCTCGATGAAGAAGAACAGCGGTCATTCGATGTGGTTTTCCAGAAATGCGTCGCCAGTGCCACCACCGTGACTCAAAAAGTAGCGCCAGCAGGCGAGACAGAGGCACGAATACGCCAACGGATCCGGCTGGGATCTGCAGCTCAGCACTACGCTGCGACTTCGACCATCAGTTACAAATGAGGCTGGATTGTTTTTAATGTGTCGCGTAATTTCTGACTTTTGACAATCAATGCAGTTTGTACACCATTTGGCTGTCACAATTTATGTTGGATCGAACTTATCTACGGCGAATCATTTTATCCGTCACTTTCGCGCTTGTATGCGCCAGTGCGTGAAATGAATCGAACACGCGTTTTCTTACGGCAACAGAAATCTAGGGAGGGACAGATTCGCTCAACTGTTTGCAATATAATCGCGAAAGAGCTAGACCCCGTATAAGCTTGATTAACTTAAGAGGGTGATTACTTTTTTCACGAATTCTCTTTAATTCTTCTTCATTCTTCTGTACCTGTACGATATTGCTACGATATTGTCGACACCTGGCAAATAATCGATTTTAGTCGTACATTAACTAATTAATGATAGCATGCGTAAGTTACGCGGATCTGCGCACGGCGTGAATGCATAAACTAGTGGTTCGTGATCTGCTGCTACCGCTTTAAAATTCCGGCCCTCAAAAAGGTGTTTAAAGTATTTAATTGCATAGCATATAATCGTTAATTCCCGACCGTAAGTGCTGTACCTTTGTTGCGCGGAGTTGAATATTTTGGAGAAGAACGCGAATGGTTTCCACGAATCGTCGAGTTTTTGCTCTTGGACAGCGCCCATAGGACACGTCTGTGACGACCCATACCTCACCGACCACCGAGGGATGTGCTATCATTTTCGCGTTCATTAAACTTTCCTTGACCTTGTAGAAGGTCTCCACGACTTCCAAAGT